GACACATACTCAAATATCGACTGCTTGAGGAACTTCATATCTTCCTCTGAAGAAGCAGAAGGACGACTGGCTGAAGCAGGGCGAGATGTTTTAACTTGCCCCCAGGAAGTGAACAAGTCTTGGATGGAACGCACAATTTTATCAGCATCCTGTAAAGAAAGTTACCAACATTGAAGGTTTTCACTACACTAAACAAAGTGAAAGTAAAGGTGAAGCAAAGATTACCTCATCAGCAATCTTGGAAGGTGGCATATCCCCAGCCAAATCTACCACCTGTAACTCCATCATTCGTGAGAACTTCCCCTTGTCTAAACGAGAAGAACTTGCTGCAACGGGCAGACTCATGGGAGCATCTGCAGAACTCAAAAAGCAACAAATCAAAAATCAATAGCACAAGCAAAGGTGAAGCATCAAAAAATGAATTACCTTCTGCTTCGACATTTGGGGGGCCGACGCCCTGGGAAGAAGGTGACTCATCCGTTGGTTGTGATGAAGATTCTGGGACTGAAGATTTCTCTTTAAGCATAGTCCCTTCATCAGTTGGTTTGGACGAAACAGCCTCAGCAGAGGATGATGGAGCAGGAGCTGCCAACACCAAAGCCTTCAAGGGAGAGGCAGGACTTTTCTGAGAAATCCAAATAAACCATCAACACATAAAAAAGTTTCAAGTATGGAAATGTATATTTGTGAGTCAACTAATTTAATTACCTTCCTCCTGACGATGAGAGGAGTGTCATCATCATCCTCCAAAATAGGAGATCCTGAAGCTGGCCGTTTACGGCTTGGGGCACTTTTAGCTGCAGTAGGCTTGGCAGGAAGAGAAGTCGATGGACGAGCAGACTGTTTAGCATGAGCAGGGGAAGAAGGACTCTTAATGGACACAGGAGTGACCAAAACAGGAGAGGTGGAAGAAATGTTTGGTTGGTCCAATGAATGGAAAGCACGATTGGCATCAGTCGTAAACAATCTGCGCTTCACTGACGGCCAGAGTCGTTCAAAAGGGGGATGGATGGCACGGCTAGAATTGAAAGGGGCTAATGAAAAGTTGCTCATCAAAAGAATATTGCGAGCATCTATAGGTTCTTACTCTGCCTTATTAATGGTGTGGAAGCGGTCTATTAAATTTCTTGAATAGCAAGGGGGAACGGGCCAAGTTTGGCCAAAGCCAAGTTGGCGAGCAAAAAATTGGGGAACGTATATTTTAACCCCAGCTTTGGCATTGGTTCCAGTCAAAATATCATGGAACAACTCCCTTCCAGTCAAAAACTGAATCCAAATGAACAGAGAGGTGCTCGCACTATCCATAGTGGATAGAGGTTGCACATAATCCGGAGTAAAAAATGGAGGAAAAGGAAAGAAGGAAGGGATTGAATCCAAAGTATAAAAGAATGAAAAAATGTCCCTTCTAGAAATATTTACAGGAGTCAGGGGATCAATGGCTAGCCCATAGTAGCTAGCAGAAGGACTGGAAAAAGATGGAGCACCAAGCGATGGAAAATAGGCTCTCAACCACATTTTAGTGAACCAAAGAGGCCCACTGTCAGTGGGAGATGCACCATTCTTCAATTGGGATTGAAGAGAAGTCATGTCTCTATATAGGGCAGCTAAAAAGAAAGAACACAAATTTAGAGGCCTACCACGCACCAACTCGTGCGCTATGGGTAAATAGCTCATGGAGGGGCTTCAGGCTTGGCACACACAAAATGTATTTACAAAGCCAAACCCGAAGAAAGGCCACACACTCAGCATGGGAAGGCTCAGCGCTCGAGTGGTTATAACAGGTTTGCAGGCTTGTATAAGACTAGGTGAGTTTTTTATCAAATTTTGGGGCGACACCAGAAATCAAAATACTAGGAAAAATGGTATCGCCCAAAGGTGGCAGATTTATTAGGGCCCCAACATCCCTTAAGGTAATAGACATGGGACCAAGAGGAAAAATAAAAGTATTATACTCGGAAGACCAAAAACTTAAAGCGATTGGAAAAAGTGTTAGGTCAAAAATAGGGGGTTGAAGAGAGATTTCTAACAAATCAGAAATCCTAGCATTATCAAAAATTGCCTTAGTAGGACCATGGTCCACAAGGCGAGCATGCCATCTACGGAAAACGACATCAGATTTAGGTCAAGTGCGAATACCTCTTTCGCGAAGCAGTCACAGCGGCAAAGAGTTTAGAAACGGAGGGCCCTGAGTACAAGAGAACAGTTTGACTGACCGCCGCTTGTTCGATGGCTTCGGCGTTGTTAAATGAAGGACCTAGATAGAACTCATTGAGTTCAACATTGGCTGGTGCGAGGAAGGTCGGAGTTATATATGGCCGAGTGAGGAGTTTCTGGAAGTCTTCGAAACTGAAGGAGTCACCAGACTGGGATTGTGAAGCAGCCATTAGGAACGAAATAGAGTTTGTCGAAGTTACGTAGCAGAGAAGCAAGAAGATGAACAGAAATATTGCGAGCGAGAAGTGCGAAACAATGAGGCGCGATTTAGTGGTGCAATAAAATGGCGTGTATTTGGGGGTTATAAGGGTTTGCAAACGTCGTACCTTTTCAGGCTATGGAAGAAAACAATGATTGAAATTCTTGAAAATTTCGAATATTGCTGGAAAACACAAAGTGAATATGGCAAAAATTAATAATTGGTATTAATTCTGCCATATTGAGGGGTAATTGTTGACACACAAAAGTTCAGCCCAAATCGGATAGCCCAAGGAATGAAGCCCAATTGGAGGATCCCCAAAATCAGATAACCCAAAGAATGGCCCAATCGGGCAATGCAGGATAAAGGCCCAAATAGGAAAGCCCATAAACGCGGTAATACCATCGCCCAAGGTTACAAGTCGCCCAACATTTGAGCGAATGGATTGCCATGCAGTCGCTCAGAAATGTGACCCTGTTCTCGTCCAAACCTTCGAGTCGCCCAGGATCTTAGCAAACATAAGATGTTATGGTTACCCAAAGGTGCGGTTAATGAAGCAGTTATTGAGTAGCCCTATCACGTTCCACGATTTAAGGAATTCAATTGAAAAAGGTTGAACGACAAAAAGTAATGACAGCAGTTAAAAAAGGCAGTTCCATGAAAAGTTGGCCACTACAAAGAAAGTGGGCAGTTATAGAGCGATCAAGCAGTTTTTAAGCGGTTAATCACAAAGAGATCATCCAGGGAGTATAAAAGGAAGAAAAGATATAGAGCAAAAGACCCTGAGTCAAACACTCTCAAACAGAGAATATGTAACTTTCAATTTCTTAATTTAGATTTAAACACTTCTTTTCAGTAACTCGTGTGCTTGCGCCCCTTGGAGGCATTCTGTTTTTATTTTCCAATTGTAAAGTTATTGCCAATAAAAACACCCCTTTTTGGGACTTTGTCTCAAGAGGTTTGTCCCTTACACCATCGCCTGATCCCTTTTTAATTGTTAGCGACTAATTCGCGCGAAACAATTATATTAGGTTATGAGAGTCTCGATGACGCGTGATTATTTTATCATTTTATTTCACTCTTTCAGAGATCCATAATTGACCAACCTGAAAGCATAAATCAAATATACAGCTTGAAAAATCTCAACAGATAAGCAGACTCGCATGTCTGAATGGAGATAAATAATTTCATATCTCACCATAATGTTCGGTTTATTATGATTTCCCATTGATGAATAAAAAGGAAAATGTTAAGTTTCTTGTAAGACATCACCAACTAGATGTCCTTTTGGACCCTTTTCCTAACCCTCCATCCGTAAGGGCAAGCTAGCCCTTGTGCTGGTTACATGAAGAGGGCGGTTCTTCATATTCATGAATGAGGCTTTCATCAAGATGCTCCAAGTTCAAAGAAAGACTCGATAGAATATGTGTTTACTCCGTAGGTCCATTTGGTAAGAGTTTCTATTTTGCTTCTATTTTTGTATAAAAGCTTCCTAAGACGTTATTTTAGATCAGCTTCCTTTAAAAAAAATAGTTAGATAAAACAATTTTACAAAATTATTCAAACATGTTTAGAAACAACATCTTAGAGCTTGTTTGGTAGAGTTTTTAAGCCAATTAATATCAATTTTTGGACCGTTATTTTATTATTTCAGCTGTCATTTTTGAATTCTTCTCTTACATATAGGATTCACTTTACCTATAATGGTTAAAAAATCAATTATCAAAATCGTTACTAAACAAACACTTACTTAAAAATTGAGATAATTTAAACAGTGGTCACTATAATTTGGTATAGGTTTTCATTTGCTCACCGATTTTTGAAAGGTTACTCGTTGTTCAATAAACTTTACTATAAGTTACTATTTGCTCATCAATTTTTAAAAAGTTACTTGTTACTCATTCAAATTTAAACGAAGTTACTCTATGCTCATTAAACTACTTAGAGATGGTAAAATAACTCGCCTTGCTCCGAATGGGGCGAAAAAACCCTCCCAGGCGGCTTGGTGGGGCTTAGCGGGGATACCTCGCCTCAAACCTGCCCCATGGAGATGTAAAAAAAAAAAATAATAATAAAAAAAAAAAAAAAAAAAAAAAAAAAATATATATATATATATATAAGCCGAACTTGGCAAGCTCCAAGGCAGGGAGGGGCGAGGACCTCGTATTGAATCTGATCAACTGCCATTTCTAACTCAGTATAGGTAAAAACATTTATATGGATAGTTGATTGGTAACTTTGCTCGAGCATTGAGTAAATTTTTAAATTTTAGTAAACAAGTGGTAACTTATAACGAGGTTCAATTAACAAAGTGTAACTTTTTAAATTTTAAAGAAAAAGTAGTAAAGTTCAGTAACCATTTATAAATGGGTTGTGCTACACGATCGACACAACGGTTGACATAGTACACACACATGGGAAGGTCGACGTTATTTTATTCAGAGAACCCATGTAAGTTCTATGTCATTCCTTGTCTCTAACATTATGTTCATTTGGCTTAATTCTTTATAAATTTACTCGTAAAAAAGGGTTCAAACGAGCCCACAGTCAAACATAGTAGGAAAAAGGCGCACGCTATAAATATTCATCCACCATTTCAATTTTTCTGGCAGCTCAGCTCTAATGTAAAAGTCCTCTCAACCCTATCTTCACCTTCCCTCTGCTGCACAAATTCACTCCTTAATCAGCATATAAACAATTCGCCTATATATATGGTAATCTGCAAAATTCGTTTCATTTCGAATGTTGCCAATAAACCCTAGTTCAATTTTCGCCCTCCCAAAAAAGCAGCCGACATTCCAAATTTTCTCCCCTCCTCGTCCTCCACCGACAACCGCCTTTCGGTGTCGTGCGACGGCCAAGAGCACGTTCCCGCTGTGGTGGTTTAATTTTCCTGCCGCTGCCGTTTCCGACGCTGCTGGCAGAATTGGCCAAAGACTGTCGGATAATATTGGTGCTACCACTACAAGCAATAATAATAGCAAGAACACGAAAATCAATGCGAAAGAGAAGTGGTCGCGTGACCGTGAGAGCTACTTGACTGACGATGCAGATGCCCTGCCTCTGCCGATGACCCACCCGAACTCCTCACCTGTGCAGCCGGAGGAAATCGACAAGAGGCTCCAGTGCGATCCAGTGATAGAGGTCCGTTTGAGTATTTTTGGAAGTAGATTTTCGTGATTAGGTAAGAACAATTTAGGAAAGAGTTCCGTTTTGTGGTGTAGTCATCACCTGGAACTAATTAGTAGGCATCCTGATTCTAAAGATGATTGTGGATTACGTATCGATTCTTGACTTCTTCATTTTTTCAGTGTTCCTTTAATTGAATATGCTGATGCTCTGTTAAGGAAGGGGGTCTTCAGCACTGTTGATAAGATGTCTAAATGACGTATGAATTGATTTTGATTCCATCTCTTGTTAAAATATCTGAAATTCAGTTCTGTCGTTGAAATGATTAGGTTTCTCGAAATTTCAACTGTCAATTTATGCATTTGAGTTTCCAATATTTTTTTGTATAACCAAAGAGTTTCAAAATTCTTTGGTTCTGATAAGCGTGCCCGATGTTTGAATTGGTATGCTTCTAATTGGATCAAATTTCTTCTGAATTTATTGATTTCACTGTGCGATGAAATTGCAGGATTGCAAGCCAATGGTTTATGAATGGACTGGAAAATGTCGGAGCTGCCAAGGAACCGGACTGGTCAGCTATTATAACAAAAGAGGGAAGGACACCATATGCAAATGCATACCTTGTATGGGCATTGGTACTACTTTTCCTTGCCAGCTTCCATTGTTAAAGCTCATGTTTTTAGATTAGACAAAGGTTTTCTTAATTTGAACCCAATATGAACTCAAATGCAAGACTCGTGTCCTAGTGGTGCAAGTTCCTCAAAACACAGACGAATTTTCCAGTTCCATACTGATACTGGCGTCCAGTTTATAGTGCACATTTTTAGCGGTTCAAATTATATTCTTTTCAAATTACTCATTCATTCAACCACAGCTATTGAAACACCTTTTTTAGCTGCAGGTAGTAATCTGATTTGCAAACTCTGTGTCATCTTCTTACAATAAATGTCTGCTGTAGACCTTAATTAAAATATGTCTTTGCAGGATATGTGCAAAAGATAACAGCACGCTGCGATATTGATGTGATGGAGGACTTGGATGGTAATGGAAAACCACCTTGATGTCGATTCCATTTTTATGGTATTCTATCTATTGGATGAATAAGTCCTATAGTTGCGGCACTGTTGTACTTTTTCCACCACTGAGTCAGTCAAATTTTTGTTGACGTTAATATCTCGGTTGAAGGAAATATTTTTAATGACAAACACAAGTGTATTCTAACTTGTCCTAGAACTGATTAATGTATTCTTCCAGTTACGTCTTTTTCATTCTTGAAATGGTTTTTACTTAGTAATTGTGTTACTATTTGCTTGAGGTTGATTTTGGCATTCCAACCTAGAATGCAATGTCACATGTGCAGATGACACGTTTTGCTGTAAATTTCATACATTGGGGAAATAATATGCCCGTTTCGCTGTCAATTGAACATGTTGGGCATATTATATGCCACTCTCCAACATGTGCAGAGGCTATCTGATTTTATCTGTGGATCACATTACAAGATACCTCAAGAATTATCTGCTCCATGTTTCCTATGTTGGCAGTGGCTATCAAAGAGTCCAGCTAAAGCGGTAAAATGGTCTGGTTCATATTTGTTATGGGTCGGCTCGGCTGCCACAGAGAGAAGGTTCAAGGGCAGATTTACACCTTGAATCATGGATAATCTTGATAAGGCAAGTCTACAGACTGAAGAAGGTAATAAAGGAAGTCCTTTAAACCAAGTCTCTACGCAACTATGTATAGGTAAGGAAGAGCATTTGGAGTAACAGAGTTGGAGACGAGTCCACTTGTGCACAAATTGATTGGTAGAACTTAAATTTATTCAGAATCCGTGTTCTTGGCATTGTTTGCTAGATAAAATACAATATAGTACCCTGCCAATAGGAGTTTGACATTGCATTTTAATCATTAGAAATTCAAGTTCATTTTCTTTTATGCAAAGACCCTCCGACCTCGAATTTCAGGTTAGTGATCCCTTGCCGTTGCTTCCAGGATCACCTACACTAATAGGTAAAGTAAGGAAGCTCATGGGCCAAATGCTAAAAACTGCATCATGAACTCGAACTTGGACCTACTCACTACAGGACCATATCATTCAATTCCAATGAGACATCACAAAAATTACGAAATACACGTTTCATACTAATCATAACATATGGCTTTCAGCAAGACAGCAAGTTCTACCGAATGAAAATAATACAGCTTGGTTAAGCACATGAAAATGGTAGCAAATATGAATTCAGTGTATAATAGCAGTATAATTAACTCTTACGTTTTAATAGTAGACATTTTACAAGCTAAAAATGCTTATGGGAGGTGAAACTCGTAGTTAACTGGCAGAAAAAGTTTGAAACTTTTATAACTGAGCCAACAAGCTCCACAAAGAAACTTACAATCCCTTGAACAAGGAAATAACGTCATTGTTACTCGCTGCACAAAAGTTCTACCTGATATTGGTGACAATATCTCGATGGCATTGAGACATTCATGGTCATCTTGGGGAAATAATCATTAAACCATGTATTGCATGTTTTGACCGTTGGAAGAATCACCAATAGTCGTTACAAGAGCATTTTCCATCCTTAAAATGATGAAATCGCTTGTTGTCTCTGACAATTAATTCCCTCCCAACTATCCTGGACATGATCTTGATAGCATTGTGACAATCACCACAGACTCGTAGGTTCTTGATTATCCTAAGAGTAGTCCTCGGAGGAGTGCTAATTAGACCATATGCAATTGCTAAACGCTCACTATGGTAAAGTAGTGCCTGTTCCTTTGCCTCCTGGTCAATGTCATGAAGAACGTACCTGGTGTCGGGTACATAAGCTTGCTCTTTCATCGCAGCCCTTAACTTCTCATCATCCTTGTAGAGGGTAGGATTACGGAACTCCAGAATCCTGTTCCTCCCAATTAGCATATTAATTGCAGAATGCTTCTTTGGTGGAGGAGTGGGGATCTTATTGGCAACAGCCTTTGAAGGATCAAGACTGATCAACAATTCCTCAGCACGGTCTTCAAGGTCAATATCCCCATGTGTCCGGGCGTAGTTCATCAATGCTTCCCAAATGACAGCTGTTGGTTCAAATGGGAGAGTTTCAATAAAAGCCTCTGCCTCAGCAAGATGTCCAATCTTCCCAAGTACACCAAGAAGCCCAAGATAATGTTCGATCCCAGGAGGAATTCCATAATCAGTCTTCATAGACTCAAAATGTATGAAACCCTCTTCAATAGCTTCAGCACTAGCACAGGCCTCTAAAACAGCAAGAAAAGTTTCCCCATTTGGCTGTAACCCCAACTTCCTCATCTGCTCAAACAAAGCCAACCCATCATCACCCAGCCCGTTCGCTGCATACCCATTGATCATCAAGTGCCAAGAATCCATATTCCGATCAGGCATATGATCAAAAACTCTCCGGGCATCCGTCATACTTCCACACTTTGAGTACATGTCAAGCACCTGATTGTTCAACAGAAGATCGCTCCTAAAGGTTGACCTTAAGAAGTAATCGTGCACTTTCTTTGCATCCTCAATTTTTTTTGAATTGCCACACAAACTAAAAAGCAAGCTAAAACACTCAGCATCAGCTCGTAACCCCTGCTCCATGTGTTCAATTACTTCCTTAACCTTACCCTCACGGCACAGACTCAATAAATCAACAGAAGCAACAGAAAGACCACCTGCACCAGGGGCTTGATTATTTGCAAACTGCCCTTGATGCTGAACTCGACTATTCACAGCATTCTGATCTTGTGAACCCCACTGATTGGGGTTTTGCCTATGTAAATACCCCTGATTATGATTCCCACCTCCAGGCTGCGGATAATTCTGCCGCTGACTAAAGTTTTGCGGAGAACCCTGATTTTGAAACCCCCCTTGTTGAGGATAACGCTCGCTCCAGTTAGGGTTTTGGTTTTGTGGGTACCGCTGATTTTGATTGTTGTTATTCCACTGGTTAACATTTCCACTCGCTGGTCCATAGTTCTGGTTCTGGGGAGGGGGGAAATTAGGGGTCGAGCCAGAAACTTCAGGATTCGGATAGCTCCGATTCGTCGGATTAGTACTGTAATTATTGTTCGAATTGGGATTCCCCAAATTATTGTTCTGCGGGATCCACTGATTGTCAGCGTTGTGATTCAAATTCCAGGAAGGATCGGAGGGTTGAGGGCTTGGCCTCTGCATATTCTCTGAGAAAGCCGACGTGGAAAGGGTTCTGAGGGTGGGGAGTGAGGGACGTAGTTTTAGGGTTTTGAGATTATAAATGAAGGGAAAAGAAGGGTGTACCTTATTGAATGAGAAATTGAGAATGGTTGAAAATCGAGCTCTGCGAATGGACACTAGAGATGACGCCATTTTTGCTCTGCAAAATTATAGCTTAAACCCTAGAGTGATAAAACCCACGCGGAAGCCAAAATATACTTGTGTGCATATCAAGATAAAGAGGAGCCGTTAAACGGGTTAATATGTTTGTCAAACCGGGTTGAATTTTGGACCGATTTCACATGGGTATTTAACCATATTCTTTCGGGCTGGACTGGGGGGTTGAGGTTGGGCCTGATCCAGACTGCTTGGTGATAACGTTGGGGCTTGGAGTAAAAATACCCATTAAATGTTGGAGGAAATTACATAAAAACATGTATTTAAATGTTCTAATTCAAAATTCAGATATGAAGTATTTTTAATCAAATATCACGTATTAATTGAATTTATGCACCCACTCCACTACAAAACCTAAAATTTTCCCAACATCCCCATCTCACTCTTTTCTCTCTAAACACGCACAATCACAATCAAATTGGGGCATACAATGGAATCGTCAGCAACGGAAACACCGGTCTTCTCTTCTTCCTAATCTCTCCCCTATCAACAGTAGCGATGCCGTCCCTAGAAGAGAATTTTAGGAGCAGCGGTGTTACCTTCGGAGTTAAATCACTTGAGCAGAGGCTTCAACACTGGAGGAGAACTGCTGCAAGTAGAGCTGGGCAAAACCCAACCCAACCCGCTCAACCCGATCAACCCAAACCAACCTGATCGGTTTGGGTTGGTTTTTTAAGTTTAATTGGGTTGGGTTGGGTTGAAAAAATATTTTTGAGGTTGGGTTGGGTTGGTTTGGGTTTTGATTTAAAACACAACCCAACCCGATGAATTAAAAAAAAATAATATCTAAGATGAAAAAAAAAACCTAAATAAAAACAATAGTAAAGATATGAAAATGACTTATAATTTATAAACGTCCTTTTTTTTATATAGATTGATTCCTATAAACATAATTTACAAATGAAATGTTATTTCATAATAAAGTAAAAATTAAGAAAATGATGATGAAATGAATAAATCCCAAAAATTGTAAATAATAATAATAATAATAATAAATACTTCATAAATTTTAAACTTATTTATACATCATTTTTCAAAAAGAATTTCTTATATAGGTATTTAAAAAAAAAGTCAAAAATTTTCAAGTAATTTCAAACTTTAAAAATTTATCTAAATTTAACAAAAATATAATCGAATCCAACTTTAATTGGACCGAAGCCCAAACCGACCAACCCAAACTTGATCGAGTTGGGTTGGGTTGGGTTTAAACCATTAATTGGGTTGGGTTGGGTTGGGTTGGGTTGTGTTGACTTTAAATAAAACTGACCATGTTGGGTTGGGGGAAAAACCGACCTAACCCAACCCATGCCCACCCCTAGCTGCGAGTAGCCCACAGAAATAGTGTAGTACATACATTATTTGGAAGAGTGGCAATTGGTGGCAATGGGTTTCTCGTCTAGCTATGTAAACACTACTTCCTTTTAGCGATTTTTTCAAATTAATACACACAATTTTCAGTTCACAAATTGTGAAAGAATGATTTTGGAACCCACTTACCAGACCCGAGTCGATGTGGTGCAGGTGACAACGGTGGTTTTTGTTGGTGGTATAGTGCAGGCAACGATGATGGTTGTTTGGTCTCTGTGTTGTGTTTATTTTTGTGAGCTTTAAGTGGATCTGATGGTTGGGGTGGGTTCGGATGGTGTTTTGTGTGGTAATGGTGTTTGTGTGGTGGTGGATCTGGCAATTAGAGTGGGTTTTATTGAATTTAGTGGTGGTTTTGGGAGTGTTTTGGTGTTGTTGGG